AAATACATTCTATATATTTAGCAGCTATTTTCCACATCCATCGATCTATTCTTCGCGCGCCGTTTCCAAGTAAAATCTTCTCTCGCAATCCGATCTCAAACACAATTGAGCAAAATCGCCATCGACGTTTCTTACGTGATCGATGACGGACAATGGTACGCAGCGCGTGTGGTTTGCCCAATTTGGCCGGGCGCAGCGGCCATAAATTCGCGACCGGTCTCGACAGAGGGGCCTGTCTGCCGGGTAGGCAGACATACTCCCATGGACATCCGTTTTCCTGAAGGGGAGGGACGCGCGCGGGAGGATAGACGGACCCCATTCGAGGAGGCGCACTCGAGGCACTCCATCAGCTGCTCCTCGAGTAGGCTTTCGGCATCAAAGCGGCTCGTCGTCCCTCAAACACGCCGGTAATGGGTCAGACTCGCTCGAGTGTCGTGGCTCTTGGAATCCCCTTGTCCTCCCAGGCTCGGGCTTTCAAACCGAGCCCTCTCCCACCGACGCCGCCCGGGCCGCTAACCACCCGTACCCCCTTCGCGTCCCCCCCTCCCCTCCTCGTCCATAGACGCGTCGATCTCTCTCTCTCCCTGCTACGGGCTTTCCAAGCACGTATTAATGCAGATTTCATTATGCGCGCTGCCAACGCCCCAGCCATGATCCTGCGGCCCCGTCGCCGGCCGTGTTTACGCGGCCAAGATGCCGCCGCTGCAGCTTGAATTATTCGCGTCCCTTTGACGCTACGGAACTATGCGGGTCCTTCAGCGGCGCTGATTAATCGCCTGGCTTTTTAACGCGCCGCTGCCGCTAACGACGCTGCTGTTACATTTGAATGCAAATCGTGTAACGAGCTCGTGTGGCTACGAGCTGTTAGCCCCGGCTGATGGAGCAGCGCGAAAATGTTTGTTTTCTCGCGATAGATGCGAGTAATTAAAAATCAAGATCCCGAGAGAGTGTTTTTACCGAGATTATGTGTACACGCGCGATAAATTGCGGTTATACTGGAAATTTTATTTTATTCCACAAAGGAGACCAGCGAGAGAGAAGAAATTTTGACATTTAATTTTGCAGCTTCGGTTCATTTGTATCGGTATGCTTCCATTGAGAGTGGTCTCTTTCTAAATTGAACGAGTAACTTTTGTCATTGAATACACACACGCCTATTGAACACTCGGCATTATGGCACATCTAGCATAATGCGCCGTGTGTGTCGATACCGAATGTAATTGTGTTTGCTCTCTCCGCCGGGAGTGCTGAATTAATGATCAATAAACACGTTATGCTCTCTTTATTGACTATAAAGGTTTGTTACGTTATGTTACATGCCACGCGATTATCGCATTATATTTATCTGCCTAATATTGGTATACCTTCCTCATTATCCATCCGCGAAATTCAAAATATCTCGAATACGCAATGTGAACATCTCGATCCATTAAGGGCTACGTTTTATTTTTCGCACGAAAAATACTTTTTTTGCGAAATTTTTTTTTCCAGTACAATAGAAACAAATATTCTTTTTAATAAAATATTAAAATCAATTCGGGATACAATATCGGTAGAGTTTTTCTCGTTTAAAGTGTGACCAGCTTTTACTCGGTCTAAGACCGCGATCGATTTGGCAAGGAAGTACCGGGCCTGCTTTTCTTGCAGCTAGCAAATTAATTCACATACGCTCCGAGGTGGCCGGAGTTCCATATAGAGGAGCGGCGTAAGCTACGACGAGGGGTGGTAGACCATACGATGGTAGGTGACTGACTTTGATTCACGGCGCCATTGAAAGCCCGTTCTTCACCGAGGACGCAAGGATATAATGATCGCCGACCCCGCATTTGGCGATTTTCCCGGTGTCTCACGGAACAGCAATACATTTATTGCAACTCCTACGTGTAGCGCTCTAAATCACGGCGTATCGAATCTTAGCGCAGCAAAAATATTATCGTGATATATTTTATACATGTGTGTTCGTTCGCGAGTTTTTTTTCCTCGACGCGGAATTTTTCGAAAAATCTAAGTCCAAAACGCGTCAAGATGGAAACTATGTATCTCTGGATTCCTGTGCATGTCGAAATAAAAATACACTCCTGAGTCTGGAAACTGCATATCTAAATTCCTTCGTATCTTGAGCTAGATGGTATTCAACATTCTTCTATTCACGTATCGCACCTGATATCACACGCACACGTCTGGAAGAATGTACGAGATCGATATTCTGGATTTACCTCGTGACACACATCTTATATCATGCTTGAGAAACGAATTGGGAATTGAGTTTTATCTCCAAATAAAGATAACTTTCGCAATATTATAAAATATCCTGGAAAATCTTGCGCAGATTATCTCTTTGCAATGTGCCGGCATTGAGAAAGCATACACTAGCATTTCAGAAATATTTTATATTGTCTGATAAATAATTAATTGTGTCTCTATCGCAATTATAAAGATGTGTCATATCTTTGTAGAGAAATCACTTTTAATCGGAATTTCTGCAAATTAAATTTTATGCATAACGTTGCATTAAGCAAGATTATATTCACAAGTTTTAAGCAGAATCAAAATATCAGGCATCAATAATCTCAGATATAATTAATTACAACATCGCGTGGTTGAATTATATCGTCAATTAACTTTGTATCGATTTCAAGCACGCTGAAGAAATAATGCTTATGATTATTAGCTGTTGAACAAAGTCATTCCTTTTCTTGTACGAGAGCCACGTTATAATTAATTTTTCTCTTACAATTATTTTTTATATAAAATTAATTAGTTAAGTAACATAACATAATATTTAAACATATAAATAAAACTCTAATCACTTTTTCAAGCAATCCAGCAGGTAGCGAATAATAATTTTATTGCGACTTAGTTGGCCGCTTATTTAATCGTATTTGCAATATTCGAATTGAATTATGTCGATGCTTGTAACTCATTACCGCTATCTAAGAGGATTTGCGAACCAGAAAGGTGGTTATTATTGGCATATTGAATTTTACGTGCACCGAGTTTTAATAAATGAGAAATCCGTGTTAGTCGTATCATCGAATCGACATTCTACAAATGCATTTAGACTTCTTGATTATCGATTCTCGATAATTACCTCTGGTTGCGCGGATTCATTAATCTGCCCTTTTTAGTCATTAAGAAAAAAGGATGGAGAAGTATTCTTCGACCTGTATTTACGAGAGTACTAATCGATATTACATTTCCGCCGATTCAAGTACGCCCGCGCGCTTTCGGAAGTTTAATTTTTTAGCAGACTTGCTAATACCTCTCGTGTGGAATCTGTGTTCGCCAACATCCTATTGAGAACTTTTCCATCGCAATTTATCTTGCGAAGAATATCGCATTTATTTTCATTTTTTATCACCCGATACTGCGCTCATTTTCCAGAAATTTCAATCTTTTTTGCACAACAGTTGCGAAAATAATTCTGTAAATCTGAAAATGGACTTTATCCTTCAACGTGATAATTTTCCAGAAAAATTCATAAAATATTAGAAAATCTCGTTGCGGTCGACGGCGCCAAAGTCATCACGATTCCATTTTCCGGTTTAGAAACTTAGCACGTCGATGATAGCGGATCGTGCTATTATTTTGTGGGTTTAAGAAAATTGGATCGCACAGGGAGAGAAAGAGGTGGTGCGCGGCTTGCCTTCGAGAGAAATAAACGGGTCATAGTTAATTGGGTCGCTGTCATGTCCCGTTTAACGAATGTTTAATTTGTTTCGTTACGATGCCGGCACGTAATTAATTTCAATTAATTATATCGTCACTCTCGGGTCATCCTCCGTTCCCGTTTCACGGCAATGATTTTGCGTACAGCTCATTCGCGAATAAAATCACGTTCGCCAATATGCAAAATTTTACGAGGGAGCCGTGTCTGCCGGCGCGCTCGTGTCACAGACACGGCATTCGACTGCATTGCGGTTATAATTAATTGGCAAACTGCAAATTACATGATAATCCTAATTATTTGTCGCTTTGTAAAGCGATTGCTAGGATAATGGCGTGATTAGAATTTCATGATTGTCTGTATCAAGCGTGTGGTCAGCGTAACCGAAAACCTGGAATTGCAGTTACGATTGTAAGTATATTACTCCAATCGTATGATAAACTCTACAATTAGTTAAAGTGCACCAAGCGCGCAATTGTGAATCCACAAGGTGGACATTCGTGTCCAGATGCAACAATGTCCGGCAAATCGCAAAATTGTTTCGCGTCGTAAAATTATTTTTACTTGTTTTCAAAACGTCATATATTTCTTTCAATATCTTCAATTTTGAGTCTTTAATCCTAATATTATTAATGTCCTACTTATTGCTCGCGCATAAATATATTATATATATATTCTTGCAAATTAACGGAGATACGTATCCGTGGACTTCTCTCGAAAAAAAGAATCCGTGATGAGCGGTACGGTAATTGAAACGCGCATCAATGTGTAATTTACGCTCAAACTGATCCTCAAAATGGATTTTCACAGACTAAACGGTACATGTCCATTAAAAAATACAAGCACTTTTACATAGGTGCAATGAGAATCTACAATCTGCATTAATTCGCCGATAATCCGAAAATGGTTCCTCTTTCCCTTATTGGTCTTTTCTCATTTATAAATATAAAGGAATTTATTAATGCTTTCGGATTTGTGCACAATAAACGGATAAATATTTCCAAAATGGTTAAAATTTAAAGATTTTGTCCAATATATATCTTATATTTTATGCACACTAAATTTAAAAAAATTCTAAATTGCGACAAAATGTAGATGGAAATATCCGGTGGAAATATTCTGTTTTTTATTATTAAAACTGATTGATGGATGTAAATACGCGGCTATTTCTATTCCATTTGATTATTTCAATCCCGTTTCATCAATGATTAACTGATTTTTCGCAATATTTATATTGATATTTATCAATTTAAATGTAATTCAATCACGATGCCGCATTCACGAGATTTTTTCTTAGCAATCTTTCGTCTGATATATTATGTGTCTTACTCACCTCGGCAGGGAAAGCGTAGTTATTGATGTGATGCTCGGAACCGTGAGCATCGTCCATTCCATAGTGAATATATATTTCTTCGAACTGATAGTGATATGCGAGCGGGCCACCAGTTATATTGACTCGTATCTTCGCCTCCCTGTCCGCTTTAAACACCAGGAACTGCCCGGTGTTGTGTAAGTGTCCGGAAATCTGAAAGCAAAATTGATCGAAGCCTGTTAGTTTCGTAATGGACTCGGCGAGCGAAATACAATTAAATAGACGCATTTAAATAGTGAATATGACTGCATCAATTGATTGATGGTGAAGATAAAAAGAAGGCTCGCTACGTATCCTTAAAGCTTTTTGATCGACGTAGCCTCTGAAAGGTAATAGCAATGCAATAAAAAATTATAATGGAAAAGTTAAATTAACTGAAAAAGAATTCAACGGTATCAAAAAGTAACAAATTATAAAGTTTCTAAGTTGGCGCAAGCTTGATCTATTTGTATAAATTTTGCAAGTCTCAATGCGCAGGATATTTAATGCTAATTCGATGCACTTTAGAATGAGATTCGCGAACAATAGTCTTCGTATGCCTTATCGTAATGAGCTGCATAAGAGCGCGGTTGCAAAGATGTCTACAAGAAAGGGCGGCAACTCGTCGTCCGCGGGATAATTGATTAGGCATTTAATTGGATGGAATAGCAAAACCAGACACGGTGCCATGTCGCACAGGAGCTCGGCAAAGTGCAAGACGAGGCCGGGGAAGTCCATTTTCTTGTACGTCGCCGAGAACCTGAATTATGGCGTCATCAGTTAGAAATAATGAGGTAACCTCGGGGAGAAGCCAGCCACGGAAGACACGTCGGCAAAAGTCGTCGGGAGATAACTTATTATTTTGCAATAGATTTTTGGCCTCTGACCTCCTTTCTCGCGCTCCCGACCTTCTCGCCTCCTCCGCAGATTCTTTCGCGCAACCTTTTTATATTAATATAAAATCTACCCAGAAATATATATCTTTTCAAGAATTTAAGATCTTTTTGGAATATAATTTCGTGCAAACGTATTTAAAAAAAGAGCTCGCAAAAATTGAAGCCAAATTCATCATCATAAAAAAATATTCAATCTTTTAAAATTATTTTAGAATCTTCTTGTTTGAAACAATATAACTTTAAATAGCAAAATTGTGAGATTAATTACGAAAAATAAGTTATGTTAATAAATACACAACTTGGATGCAATAAAAAATGATAAAATGAGAAATTTCTTATCGCAACGCGATAATTCCTGTCGACGTACGGCCTTCCTAAAATTTAAACAATCCCATGCCGATCGTTAATCTCACTCCGAAAAGTCCTTGTCGCTGTTTCCTCCCGAATTCATTAAGACATCGGCGGCGACCCTCCTCGTCGATGACAGAGAGAAATGAACGCGAGCAGGCGGCGCGACGACTTTCCTTCGACGCGTAAGAGAAGAATCAATGGCGCATAACTCATTATTTTGCGATAGATTTCCACCCCTTCGATCGCTCCTGGGAATAATTCGTCCGCCCCCACTCCCTTCGTCTTTTTTCGTCCGCCCGAGTTCTTTTTTTGCTCGCTTGGTACCATCGTCTCCGAACTTGGATCAATGGGAGCGACGGAGAGAGAGAGAGAGAGAGAGAGAGAGAAACCGGAAGAGGACTCATGGTAGTTCCGCGAGATCTCTCGAACGCGCACAAAGGCCGCCCTTCTTTCGACGAAACTCAAAGTTCGGGGAGTGGATCATCTTCCATCCTCGCGCCCCCTGAGACTTTCCCTCCGCCAGTTCCGGAAAGCCGTCCTCGCCGGGTCCGAACAATCGGCGTTGCGCATTCTGCCGGCTGCCGTAGAATTCGCTCCCACTTTGTTCCCACAGGAACTGCAGAATTCACGAGCGACGACGGGGCGAACGGCGCGGTGTAAGAAGCGCGTGGCGCCAAATCTTCTTAAAGTTCATCGACTTCGCGGCGCGGCGATGTCTCACGATTAATGCCCCACCGACAACTCCCTTTTTCAGGTTCATGGGGAGACGGCGATGGTCGGGCGAACTCGCGGGGAAATAATCGAGTTTCGCGGAGGAGGATGCTTAAGTTAAGAGCGCGGAATAGTCGCGCGGGATCTCCTGATGTAAACGACGTCTGGCTCTCGCGGAGTGTTTATGAGATTGCCGAAACTCGCTAAATCCGTTTTCCATGCGGACTGCAATTTCGCGATTACGCCGTCGGAAATTCGGGAACTATGAAAAATGGATTTAGTTGTCTAATGCGCGAATTTGCAGACGTTGTAGACGTGGCGCGGAACTTGGTCGACGCTTCGCGAAACTGCGATTGAAAACCTCAAGTGGAAACGGACACCTTTGATCGGACAAAATTCCCGTTGAAACATTATCAAGGTGGAATCAAGCTATCGCGTGGAACAGAAATCCAGACGGTCGGGAATTTAGCCGAGACGTGAAAGACCCGAGAAGCCGGTGGCAACATTGTCCGGTAATTAACGCGAATTAAGCGGCCGCCGAGCAGAGTAGCCCGGCGTGCACGGCTCACATTCGAGTGAGATTCAAAAAGCTTCCGCCGGCTCTCTCGCCCTTTCTCGCGGACTTAACCAACAATCCGGTCTGTTTATACGGTGGTTATGTCGATTTGTGCGCCGCGCACAGTCTCCTACACAGTTTCTGCGATCGAGTTTATCGAAACGTGCGGCTTCAATTATGGCGCACGGCCACGAAGGTACGCCCGGGAATTGGCAATTCCAGCGCGCGACGTAAGAGAACGCGCTCGTTACAGCTTCGATTATAGCCGGGCGCTGGGTATACACACACAATTCGCCGGTTTCGCAAAGGATTGTTCGTGCGAAGAAACGTACTGTGGTATCGACGGGCCGTTAGCGGCGGGCTTTAGTGTGCGTCGGAGATAGAAGTAGCTCGTAAAGGCCGTTCCGCCGAAATCTACTCGATCACTTGTTGCAATAAAATTACGACGGTCGGGGCAAGTAACGCCGATGTACAGACCGCCTCGACGAGAACTTACAACGTTTTTAAATTATTTATCACCCAAGTTTTCAGTAAAAATATATTATAAATTATCAATCAATCAATAATCTTTCCAATCATTATCTTTAAGCGTATTTTAATATCAATTATGAAAATTCAGCCGCCTGTAATTTTTAAACAAATTTGGATAAAATAATAATCGTAACTGGAACTCGGAAATTCGTTTTACGAAATCGCCATATTGTAACAGATGGGAGAACGGCGAGGAAGACCGGATAGAAATTGACTGGAGGGAATTAGATTTCACTCGAAACGTGAGTTTCTATAGTGAGATTATGGTATCTGTCGTATCTGCGACTGCTACCACATCGTGCCGTATTGTGAAACGATCTATAGACGTTTTCGCAGGCGAATTGGCCGCACAAACTGGCCCGGAAGAAAGAGCGAAGAACAAGGGGAACGCGGGGTGAACCAGAGGGTAGGATAGAACGATTGGAGATAGAACGACTGGAGTGAGCTCCGGCTGAGCCAAAGACGTACGTTCGACTTCAAGAGACGTCGCCGGGGCGCGCGGTTCGTTCTATTGTTTAATTTAAGTGCCAAAGTTTTAACCAGGTTAAACGGCGTATAAATTCACGAGGTTCCCTGACGGTCTCCCACGACTTTGTCGTACCGACGGGGGTTGGCTGGTCGGTCGGCTGGCGCCGGCTATGAAACGGCCCGAGACCGCGTTTAAATAGCGCGGGACCAGGTGTGACGTCAGTGCGGTTTCCGTCGCACGAAGCCCAGTTTCGTTTCGTTCCCAACAAATCGAGAGTCAGTCCTGAATTTCTCTCTCTCGCAAAAAGCTTAACGATTCGCATACGTGATCCGACAGAACGTATCCTCTCCTTCATTTTATCATCCTTTTTTTCTAGTAGAATCTCTTATATTCCACCGCATCTTTTTATTTTAAATAAAATTCAGAAAATCCTCTCCGCGTCGCATATTTGCCGTCGCGTGTGATTTGTCGGCGGTTTCACGCCGCTTGTTTCAATGAAAGAAGCGCGGCGCCGACACGGTTAACAGCGCGGCAAGAGGCGAGAGGATACTTGAGAGAACTCTCTTTAGCGCGCCTAGGGAGGGAGCCGTTTGCTGCAGGGTAGGCAAACAATGAAGAGTCCCGTCCGCGGCTCGTTTCAAAGCGCGGCAGAATGCATCCCGGCGGTGACGGTAACTCGCGCGCAGCTCGTGAGAACGCAGCTACCGGTAGCGCCGGTGAAAAAGATTGACTCCACGACGAGGACGGGAGTGAAAGGAGCAATGGAAACGAGACCGTTGTGGGGTGAGAAGAGGACGACTACGGCAGGGCAAACGATACCGCCGCACCGCGTTTAAACCTTTTCACGTGCATTTCCGCGGAAGACACTTTGTGGTCCGTCTGCGCTTGGCGAAGTCGAAGAATGCGCACTTTTCTCTCGCTTTCTTTTTTTTTCTAAAACCGAGAGGAAACAGGAACAAGAAGCGAAATAGGTGTCACATCTACGACTTCCGCGGATGCGATGGGTGAACGAGTAGCTGGTCGCGCTAGATAACGCGAGCAAATATAAACGCGGATGGAGTCGCGACGAAATAAGTGAAGTGTGGAAAAGAATAATAAGACAAAGTTAAAACAAAAAAAAAAGGGGGAAGAATGGAAAAAATTCTACTGCTAAATTCCGCGATTCGCAATCGCGAATTATTACGAAATAGCGAGCGATCCGTCTTCCGGAAGTTTCACATTAATCGCACGAAATATTTTACATTTATCAGGTTACGTCTGTTGAAGCAATAAAGATTGCAAAAGATATGGGCACGTTTATTTTACGCCACGAATGCAACGAAGCGCGATAGAAAGAGTCAACATCGAGAGATACGGACAGCGCAGTAATATCATCGTCGCGAGCCAGTTCTGGTCGCTTGCATCTGGTACAAAGAGTTATTGTCGCGATCGCGCCGTATTTATTGTATCCTTTCGCGGGCAATATCGTCGCTCGAGAATTTTCGGTCAGCGTCTCGCATGGGAGAAAACGGGCGAAATACGTCGAGCGCGGCTCGTATCCGTCTGCGAAACCCTGTATCCAGCGTGATCCGAGAGGGAGAGGCATTGTCACGGTAGCCGAGCATTTTTCATGTTCGCGTTTCCCAGGAATAACGCCCCGAGACCGCGAGACCACGCCAGCACCGCGGTGCATGTTCCGTGGAAAATGGAGGGAACGCATTGAACATGATACTGAAAGAAGTGACCATATAACGCTTCGGCACCGAGATAAAAATATCTCAATGTTAAACAGTATACAGATCAACAAAATTGGAGAAAATGATATATAGAAAAAAAATAATGACAATTTGCATTAATAAAATCAACGGGAAAACATGTACAGCAAAACATTGCTAAATTATTAACGGGATGTCGAGAAAATATCTACTATTCTCAAAATATTTTTCCACGTATCATGAATCCAATAAAATGCGTATGATGCGAAAAATGAGTTATGAATGGCGAGAAAATTGTTCAAAATATTGTCGTAATATGTATCAAGTAAAAATTTTGTCACGTGTTGTTTTTATACAAATCGAATAAATGCTTGAGCAAACAACATTAACGATCATCATCGCCACTCATACATGTTTTCCATATAACTTTTTACTTTATCCACTCTATGAAGTTCGAATTATAGAGTTGCGTCCCGAGAGCAAAAAGATATCAATGAGAATATAAATGGAGATGTAAATCGAGCAGCGTTGCAAGAGTTCTTCCATTCTACATTGAAAGTTCATACTTCTTCTATATCGAAAGTTCACAGAGACTTTTCGTTCATGCATTTATAAACGGCTTTCCACCCCTCAATATATTCTTCAATACGCTCATATTGCATGCATGAGTCACTTGTACATGCAGATGGGCGAAAATTCAAAATAACGAATATGGTCGTGAGAATAGTATTATAATGTCTGTAATAAAAACAAAGAAAAACGAATAATAATACAAAATTTACATATATTTCGCGTTATTTTCTAAAATTGTTCTATTCGGGTGTTTATTCTGTTGAAAAATTATTAAAAGTCACGACCATCATCGAGTTAAGCGCTCCTCGAGTGAACGGGTGGTGCGATGAATAAATGTTTTCTTAATGGAAAATTAGCGTTTGCTGAGGCTCTTCCGGACATCCTCACTGATGGAGCGGAAATCAGCGTTAAATAGGTGGCCTCGTAATTAATGGCTTTATTATCGAATCAACGAACTCAGCTAGTGAAAAATGGACAGCGGGAAAGTGGAGCAGCTCTCGCTGGTGAATTCCAAATCCATTACTATCACGCGACAGCTCGGGGAATACTTTCACGGTAACCAACCTGATTTTATCCTTGCTTTTCGAAAGGTGTCTCGCGCAAGATGAATCATACCTGACATTCTAATTTTAACTTCGTTTTGATGTTCCAAAATAAAACGTCGGTCTTAATCAGATGCAAATTCTTAGCGAGTTAGTATTTCAATTTGACGCCAGCTACTGCACATGACTTTTATGAGAACTAGAAAAATGTAACTTTACACACATAGGTTTGTTCCAAATTATGAAAATATGTCACAATCAAAATGATAGCTCTTTTGTTTCGTCTCAAAATAAGAACTGCGAATAAATGCGAAATTCTAACGAGCATATCACGAAAGCTGAAATAAAAGCTATAAAATTATGCAAAAGGAAAATTGCTGTTACATTTAACATTAAACAAAATCATGTATTTATTCTGCATGTGAGCCGAGTTACATTGTGCGTAATTATGAAATTTCATTAACATTTACTACATTTACTTTTTTTCACTACGCTCACCATTTATACTCACCATTTATACACTACTCTGTTTTATTCGAAATATATAATGTGCGCACCCGGATTCACGTTATTAAAATAATTACCATTCCATTATAATTTTATTCTGATCTGATTTAATTATAAAACGCACAGTTCTTTATACAACGCCGTTGAAAAGCAAGTTTGAGAGTAAATTAATTGCAATGCGCATAATAGTGCGTGATATATAATTACATAAAATCAACAATCAAATGTAATCAAAGTAAACAATGCATTATGGCTGTAACGAGTGGACGCGTTTTAGAATCGTTAATATCAATGAGATCTCTCTCATTACCTATCTGCCACGCAAAAACCCGAGCAATTTAATCATCCCGTCGGGGGACATCCAGTATGTGCCCCGTTTGACTAACGAGCGCCCATCAGACAACTCTTTCGTCTTCATTTGAAGTGGACGTGCACATGGGACGAGACCGAACTTCGAGATTTACTTCTTCGTCCTCTTTTTTTTGTGATCATACTCGAACGCGAGATAATATTAATGCTCGATGTTGTCGCGTTAAATTATAATATGTGACAAATAAAAAAACTGCGATAAATAATTCAAAAAAATTTTATCGCAAATATTCCGCTATTAGAATTTAATGCAACGATTGCGTAAACATCTTGTATGCAATATAAAAATAATGTATAATATTGATAGACACTTTTTATAATTAATTTTCCATGGATAAAATATTGATGAAATATTTTTCGGAAAAAATTTGATAGATTTTTTTTTAATTATAAAATTGTTAATTACTTTCTTTCACGAGATTCTAGTTTCGAACATTTGTGTGTCCCCGGGGATGCAACAGATGCCTGCGAAATACGGCGCTATTTTGCGGACTGAAAGATTGGATACATTACCCTGTGTTTGTCGACATGCACTGGTCTCAAGTGACGATCAAAGAGCAACTTGTCCGGCTCGATGTTGATGGGACTCTGCCGCCTGCCTTTGCTGCAGAGGGACCACTGCGGATTTATCAGGCCCCAAAACGAAGGTCCTGCAAGAAAAAAATTTAACATGTTAATAAAAGAAAGCTCAACAATTAATGCTCAAAGTTGTGAATAATATGTAAAAGTTGTAAAAATTCTATAAAAGGAACGATCATAATTAGACTATGATAATTATAGATGATTCCAACGGATAGCAAATCTCTTTGGAAAAGTTGTAAAAAAAGAAGCCTACAAGAATGTTGAATGCATTATTTTATATGAAAATTTTGTATCGTATCTCCGAGGCGGTAGAAATTCGGTCGCGAACTCCCAAGGGACAGGATTCTTATTTTCTATGTTTGAGTATGAATCGTGTCACGTGTCAACCGCTCAGAAATCTGAAATTTTTATAATTCCAACTTTTCCGGCTGGTCGCGCCGGCCGGTCCCGTCTCTTGTCCGGTCCGCGTCAAGTTTCGCTCGGTAAAAGGGATTTTGAACTCGTTTCGCCAGGTTCGTACGCCAGGGACCGACGCAACTCCCCGTCTCTCCTCCAATACTTTCGTCTTAGAGACCCACAGACGTTCGCGTTTTCCGGCACTCCTCTGAGAAATTTAACTTTCTTCACGTCGCCCGCGAGAGGATCGATACCGCGAGAAAGCCCGGCTTAACGAATCCTTCGTCACAAATCTGAGCTTGCGAAACAGCGCAGGCGAATCGCATCTTATATTTTCGGTTTCAAAGACACTTAAAATTCATATATAAAAGTCCTCTATTAAATACAATTACATACACGTCAAAATTGACGCCCGTAAAAGTTTTTGCTTTCACTCGTATTTACTCATGTGTGTCTGTGTGTGTGTGTGTGTGTGCTTATGTCCGTCCAACGGCTCTTGATTTATTACTCTATACACTACAACTCCAACAAAAGTTATAAGTCATCCTGTTAATCCACTCGTCTCTCTCGCGAGGAGGATAACAAACAGTCTTTCCCGAAATTTTTTCGCCTTGCGCAAAGCTTCTCCCGCCGTTTCCCACACCATTCTCTTTTTTGCAAAACTGCCGCCCTATAACAATTCTCGCGGGACAACGGCTGTGAGTCGTATTACAAGGGTGGACAATAAATTATTAGTCGTATAAACAACTCGCATAACCGACATGCCGGACATGTCGGTGCGGGAATCTGACAGTATGACGACACGTGAGAGACGCACACACTGATACGACCCGAAATATACGAGTATTATTTGCGTGCAGAATGTTTTAAACATATAAATCTGTGCCGTTTAAAAGTGCTTCGATTAATTTATTTACAAAAGAAAAATGGCATATAAATCGATCAAATTACGGTCAATCGAGATAATCGTAGCATTAAAATAAATATGACACTGCAACATTTTTCATATTGATAAAACTAATAGCCGCAGGCATTGATAAAATAATAATAAATAAATAAAATCATTTGGCAATATTAAACATTTCGGAAATTTTTACATTTTATCGCGATCAAAAATTTCATGTATTTTTTTTTTTATTTATTAATATAAAACAAAATGCGATACAAAAGCTGTTCAATATATTTTTGATATAATTGAAAGAAAACAAATAAATACAAAATTATTTTGTTACTTTTTAATTTAATCCCTCTTTAACTCATTACATCTAGTAATGAATTTTTCTAAACCTTCATAAAAAATACAGCTTAACTCACTTGTATCTCTAAATATGGCCTGTCGCAGCATTACTAAAAATATAGTGAACGCCCCTCGTATCATAATTATAAAACTTATCACGCAGCAGCACAATCATCCTGATGAGCCCCGTCTTCTCTCACAAAAACGTATACTTTGTAGTGCATATCAGATGAGAATTAAACATGAAAATGCACAAATAAATTTCAGAGCACCGCGAGCAGTGCGCTCAGTGAAACAGGTGTGCGCTACGTTCTGAGCTCGTGTGTTAACGCTGAAGATTTGCCGAAAGATATGAGAGATGACACGTAATGACATCCCGACACGCGAGCATAATCAAAACTTACGCCGCCGATAAACATGCGTATCGGCCTGAACGGCATACTCAACTCGAATTTTGTGTCGCGCACGCGCGCGTGTGTGACAGCAACGACACTTCGACACTTTACTGTCATAATAGCGACGCAATTGGCCCCGTTGCAATTAGCATTTCCACGCCAGAGCGAGCATTGCTTTTTTCTCATCTCTGCTTCCGTCCGTCATGTTAGCTGTCTGTGCATGACACGCGTGATTCACTTCATCGAAGGGAACTTGGTTAATTAAAGGATTATAAGGCAAGTCAGGTGTTTTCCCGGCGCAAAATATGTAATTATTGAAATTTGCAAAAAAAAATATAAGTAGGTCGATTCTAATACTTGTTGAAAGTGCAACGCGTTCCCCGAGTGCTCACTTCCTCTTTATTTCAATGTAAAATCACTAAACTCGCGCACCATAAATCTCAATCGGCCCCGACGGCGTGAAAAATGGGTTGATATGACGCGGAGTGGTATTATTTTTTGATTTATTTTCTGATCAAGTTGTTACACATTCCGCGCTACATTCTTTATAACTTTCGCGAAGCACGTAAAGCGAACACGCTCGATGGAGGACCGCGCGCTTGATTTCTTAACGCGCGGAAGCCGCTATTGCGCGAACCCGCAACACATACCCCGCCGCGTTCCCGCTTTTCTCCGTGGGTGGAATTTATGTCGAGTGGGAGGGAAAGGAGAAGAAGGAGAATGGCATGCCATCGCGTTCGCCACGCAAGAGTTTATTAAACGACGCACGCGCGGCGAATGCATATGTGTGCATAAACGTTTTCCTTTTTTCATTCCGCTCGATTCGTCGCGCAACATTTTCGCGTCGCGGTACGCCCGATTTCGCCCCACGCCGCAATCTTCGTCATATTTCTTCGTTATCGTACACGGCGCGGCCGCGAGATATACATACCTTGTGTGTATCTACTTATCAGCGTTACACGGACCCGCGATTTATTCGATTAAAGTCCTCAAACACAAGCCCGTCCGCCCGCCCGCCCGCCCGCCCGCTGATTATGCGTGCGGGCACGCAACTGCGCCCGAACTATCCCGTCGCAATTTAGATCCTGTATCTCTTCTTGCTTAATAGCGTGCTCGGAAAACATAAAATCATTCGTGATCTACGCTGTGCAACGAATATACGCGGCGGAAAATAAAAATGTTTACGAGTCGCATAATATTATTAGTCATTTTACGTAGCCGTATAGCGCCGTGATATTTTTCAGCGTTTGAACTCATGAATTTATTAACAGAGTCGTTTCTTTTATATCGCGCGAGAGCGGTGTTTAGTATCGCGGTGAAATTATTACTTTTCTACAACAACAACATTCGGAATGAAGACAAACCGCTTTAGAAGGGAATTATTCCGCGGAAGAGCACACCGCTGCGAGATATATTACATTAGTCTTATTGCACTCCGTGTTCGGCGCGATATATTACGCGTGACAGCGAATTATTAGCTCGTGGAAAGCATCGTACGTTCTATGTACGTACCGGACGTGTAATCTAGTATTGGATTATAGTTACATGGGCAGCGTTTAAATCGATTCGCACCAGTGGACGATCGGACCTAAACCACATCGGACCGTATTCTATTAAATTAAGCCCATTGTTCTTCTCGCGAACATAGCTACGTTGTATCGGCCCGAGAACAGACCAATTTAAAGCCACGGGATCCAATTAGAGTCGATCACACACATTCAATCGTATTGTTTTACCGGTCCAGCTAAGATTATTCAATATTTTACACATATATGTATAACGACGGGAAAAAGAGATCGGTCCAATAAATTTTAACATAATTTATGGACAGCTAGAAAAGCTGTCCATGTCTTGATGTTATTTATGCTTTCTTTAAAAGAAATATAGATAAATTCTAGAATCAGTGAAGAAATAGATTTCGGGTTAATTTAGTAAATAATGTAATGCATTTGATATATTCGTCGTAACATATAGTTTCTTGCACAAATAGCATAATTTTCCGATGATTAATATAATGTTTTTACGTCATAAATTATCCGGTCAAGTAAAATTCTTCAAGTAAAAAATATATATATATAACTTGAAGTTTAGGCTCGCAAATTTCAAAACGATGGAATAGCAGGAGAACCTCAAGCCAAAGAAGATTGTAATTCTTGATAGTTTTTATTGAAACCAATGTTTTAATTAAGCAACATACGTTTCGGCTGATCATTTAGCCATCATCAGTGCTACCTTTACAAAACTGAATAATTATATCTTAGTGATTTATTTAATATAATTGAGGTCAAGTTAATAAAAAATTTTTTATTAACTTTATTTTTATTATTCAGTTTTGTAAAGGTAGCACTGATGATGGCTAAATGATCAGCCGAAACGTATGTTGCTTAATTAAAACATTGGTTTCAAAATTTTTTATTAACTTGACCTCAATTATATTAAATAAATCACTAAGATATAATTATTCAGTTTTGTAAAGGTAGCACTGATGATGGCTGAATGATCAGCCGAAACGTATGCTGCTTAATTAAAACATTGGTTTCAATAAAAAATATCAAGAATTACAATCTTCTTTGGCTTGATATATATAATATATATATATTAATATACGATAATATTATATACGAAAGAAAATTATATACCAAAGGAAATTTCATCATTGCATCACCGCCGTCAGATTACAGGATTTTACTTAGAAATACAGATTAGAATTTTATATTCGTCCATGAATTTACCTGACGATAATTTAATGATGACGACATAAGATTGCAGCGAAGACCTCTATCTCGGAGACGCATCCGACCGCGTTAAACCGCAGGGTATCGCGACTCGGGTCTCCTCATCGCGATTTCATCGAGTTTTACTTTCGCGCATAATTGCATAATTACCTCCTCGACCGTCATTAAGAAGCAGCTCGCTGACGCCGGTGCAACGGATAAGGGGTTGCCGGCGCTCCCGAGGCGAGCCAGGGGCAGATAATGAAATAACGGTGGGCAGATGGAATGATTACTTTCTTATCACCCGAAGGCAGGTAGGCTATTAT